CACCCTCAAGTAAATAAATCTTTAAAAAAAATAATAAAAATAAATAAAACCAGAGGACAACCAGGGGTATGGCTGAGTTCCTTGTGTTTGTTTTGCCTCTGTTTGGAATTGTGCCTGCATTTTGAGGATAAAATAAAAATTCTTAAGTGTGGTGCCTAAGGCCTCTGGTAGATGTTGCTAGTGATCTGTCATATGTCCAATTCCCTTCTCCTTCTGAACACAGGGACTTTTTCAGTTTTTGTTTCCCTGAAGCTTGTGGTGGTTCTACGACACGTGTTGGCCAGTGAAATGAAGGAAGTAATGAGCATCACTTCTGAGCAGAAGTATTTAAGAGCAGGTGCATGATTTTCTGTGTTGTCTTCCCCTGCAGGGGTGAATCCTGAAGCCTCAGGTTGAGATGGGAATATTATAATACAGAAGAGCCCGTGTATGACATATAGTCTAGAGGCAGATTTTTTTTTAACTTTGGGATTGTTGCCACAGTAAAACCTCACCTGTCATTAAAATCAAAATGACAAGAAATACCAAGTGTTGGTGAGGATGTGGAGAAACAGAAACCCCAGTGGGCTGTTGGAGGGAATGTAAACTGGTGCAACCATGGTGGAAAAGAGTATGGAGGTTCCACACAAAATTAAAAGTGGAAATACCGTATGATCTAAAAATCCCTCTACTGGGTATTTACCCAAAGAAAACAAAAACACTAATTCGAAACGATATATGCATCCCTAAGGAAGCAGCCCAAGTGTGCACCCATAGATGAATGGATAAAGAAAACACACACACACACACACACACACACACACACACACACACACACAGGAATATTATGCAGCCATAAAAAGGATGAGATCATGCCATTTGAGACAACATGGATGGAGTCAGAGAATATAATGGTAAGTGAAATAAACCAGAATGAGAAACACAACTACCATTTGAGTCCACTTCTAAGTGGACTCTTTAAAAAAAAAAATGAATAGGCAAACAAAAAGCAGAATCAGATCTGTAACAAATTGACGATTGCCAGAGGGGAGGAAGGTGGGGGTGGGCAAAATGGGTGAAGGGGAGAGGGAGCTCCAGGCCTCCAGTTATGGAATGAGTAAGTCAAAGGGATAAGAGGCACAGAGTAAGGAATATGGTCAGTTGCCTTAATAGTGTCATAACAGGACAGAGGGTAGCTATGATGTCTACACTTGGATGAACTTGTCAAGTCACTAAGTTGTACACCTGAAACTAATGTAACATCGTGTATCAACTATACTCAAAAAAATTTTTAAAAACCTAAGCTTGTCCTGACTAGTACACTTGTGATTTGCCCCCTGCCTGCCTCTCTCGATTCATCTCTGGTGACGGCCCCTACTCTCTCACCTTCCCTGAAAGTGTGAAGAAATCCTAATACCTCTGGGCTATTGCGTAGGCCTCCTCTTTTTGTAGTACTGATCGTTTTGCCCGGCACCTGCTGTTAGTTGTTGAAAGCCCAGTTCAGACACTACCCACTCCAGAAAGCCTCCTTAATCTGGGTAATGTCTGTTTTCTGATATTTTCCTCCAAATACCCTGAGTGTACTTACATATGGGACCCTTCCCACATTGCATCATGTTACCTGATTATTTGCTGATGTCCCCACTTTTCATTACGCTCTTTGGAAGCAGGGGATGAGTCTTTCTATTGTTCTTGTTGCTGTTGTATTTTTTAAAATATATTTATTTATTTGACAGAGAGAGGGATCACAATTAGGCAGAGAGGCAGGCAGAGAGAGAGGGGAAAGCAGGCTCCCTGCTGGGCAGGGAGCCCGATGTGGGGCTCGATCCCAGGACCCTGAGACCATGACCCGAGCTGAAGGCAGAGACTTAACCCACTGAGCCACGCAGGTGCCCTTGTTGTATTTTTTTTTTAATTGTTGCTTTTTGTGTTTGTCTTAGGTCCTATGAACCAATATGTTGAGCACAACACTTGGTCCATAGTGGATGTTCAAAGACATCTGTTGAATAAATGTTTCAACGTATATAAATAAAACAGAGGTCATTTTTTGTAATGTTTAGCTAGATACCTGCAATGCCATTTAACTGGAAGTTGTTTTGTGACTTCTGTATGTTTCTAAGGTGCCTCTTGTAGATTCTTGATCATCAACTTTGCTTTGAATTCATATCTTCTTATTTATCATTTGTTTTATCTACTGTCTTTTCTGCCCCGTCTTTTGCAGCTCTGTTTCTATGGACTATCAGTTGCCAAGAACCACTTACAATCTTTGTTGGTAAATATATATAGTTAAATTTCAGTCCAGTCCTGGAAAACGGAAAGGGTTTAAAAATCTTTTATATATTTAATGCTACAATAATCCTGTAATATGTTCCAAATTAAATAAAATATACATTTAAATATAACATAATAGGTTTGGGCTTTTTTTTCCCCCAGCTATTTTATCATCTTCAAATCAGAGTGCTTCATTCTTTATTCTATTTCCCAGGACCAAAAATCCCTCCCAATTCAATTTCAAAATGAAGATTCTCTGGAACAAAAGCAAAGTCATTTCTAGGCACTCCTAGTTTTGTTTTATGTTTCTCATTATCCACACTGAGATTCCCCTAAATGTGAGTCATTTAAGCAATGCGTTGGGAAACCTCGAGATTCCTTTTTAATTATCTTCAAGTAATCTGAAAATATTTAAGCACATACTGGAGAAAATGCCCTTATTAGCAAGATGTTTTAAAATCACAAAGACCTTGTTAGGAGCGCAAGACAGTCTTTAAAGCATTTATTAACAGCTCAGGTTTGTCCCTTCTAGCTGTCTGCTTCCGTCTCACACCATTAAGCAAAATGTAGGTATTGCATTTTTTTAAGTTCTTTTTTAGCGTCCACGTTGACCATGGGGATGAAGAGATGATCCTTTTCTTTAAGCAAGAGGGGCAGAAAGACCCGGGAAGACCCAGGCGTTCTTGCTTTCATGCCTGTATGAAGTTGAACAGATTGTATTTCTGATTCGGGAACCATGTTAGAAAGGTGCTGTCTTAGACTCTAGTTGGAGGTTGGCCACAATCTAGCCCCCTGCAGAAGCATCCTCCTTCTCTCCATGGCAGCTGTAACTTTTGCCTCTGATGGGTCTCGGGACACTGATCACTGAAAAGGAGCACAGCGGGTTCATTAGACATACTTTTGCTGGAAGTAGCGGAACACCTGTCTCCCCGTGGCTGAAACAAATAGGCGTTTCTCTTTCTCGAATGAAGAAGAGGCTAGGGTAGACTTGAGGCTGTCAAGGATGTAAGGACTGGATTGCTGCACGGCTGAGCATTTGTGATGGCAAGACAGGTACTGCAGCTCCAACCATCAGGCCTACCATCAGAGCAAGAAAAGGTGGAAGGACCCCTTGTGCCCAGCAGTTTCTGCTTACATCTCATGGCCCGGAGCTTGGGCAGCTACAAGAGAGGCTGGGAAGATAAGGGACAGGTTTGTCATGGTTGGCTGAGGGCAGTTATGAGCCTCAGCAGGGCACCTTGCTGCTTCAAAGAAAATAGAGGCTACGTTAGCTATGGGGAAGGATACGTAGACCAAGGTCTTGGTACTCATACCAACGTCTGTCTCAGCAAGAATACTCAGAACACCATAGACCCAAGTACAAGGCATCCGATTTTTGCTGGGGCCTTGGCTCAGAAGGTGGTATGGAGTGGGGGTGGGGGGCCGGGGACTGCACCTGCTAAGAAGATTCTCCTCTTGCATTCAGCCACAAAAAGGAACGAGTGCAAACACGTGCTACAGTGTGGATGGACTTTGAAAACACAATGCTAAGTGTGAGAAGCCAGACACATGTGGTACAATTTCATTCATATGAATTATGCAGAATAGATGAATTTATAGAGACAGAACCACACATCAGTGGTTACCAGGGACTGGGGGAAACGGGGACTAGAGAGTAACTGCTTAACGAATTCAGGGTTTCCTTTTGGGGGTGATGAAAATGTTTTGGAACCAGAGAGAGGTGATGGATGCCCAACATTCTGAACACACTGAATGCCCCTGGATTGTCCACTTGAAAACGGTTCACTATAAATAAATAAATAAAGGTTAATTTGATATTTTGTGCATTTCTCTCGACTTCTGGAAAAAATGAGGACCAACTTTGTGCAAATAATCTTTATACAGGGTTTATTCTTCAGCTCCCACAAGCAGAGTAGTTTCAGTAAGTGCCACTTACTTGCAACGAAGGCAGAGATAATTAACTAGTCAGCCTGCAATATTTCCTTCTATCCTTTTCTTTCTTAGTAACTGAAACCTTGTCAATGTGCCCAGCTTAAAAAAGGAAAGACAAAAACAAAAACAAACAAAAAAACAAACAAAAACCCCTACATTTCCCAGCCTCCCTTGCAGCAAGCTATGGCCATGGGACTAAGGTCTGTTCAGTGAAATGTGAGTGGGAGCATTGGATGGGTCTTCCAAGTGGGATCCTTAACAATGTATGGCATTTCGTCCTTCCTCTTTTACTTTCTTTCTTCTGGCCTGGAAAACAGACTTGAGGGCTGGAGCACCACCTGTCATCTTGGACCATGAGGTGACCTCGAAGATGGAAGCTATACGCTGAGTACAGTAGGACAAAAAGAGAAGAGACCGTGTCCCCAGTGACAATCCAAAGATCCTATACCATTCATGGACAGCCTACTTTCAGATTTCCTCTACCTGAGAGAAATGGGAGAGAAAATTCTAACTTGTTATTTGTTAGGGAGGAGGAGGTTGTTGTTTGCAGCCAAACTTACTTGTAACTGATACAACAGCATAAATTCCTTCAGATAATTCTTCACTCTTTAACTTATTTAAGATAGCACAGCTCAGAGAGTGAGTAACACAGTCCATCCAAGGTAAGAATGGGCCCAATTGCGGGCCATCACCTGTTCTGTAACAGGTGCTGCTGCCAGTTACCTGGTCTGTCCAATGGGCACACCAAGTGTACATTTCTATCGACAGACCTCAGAGGTCACTGATTAGGCAACCCGATTTCATAAGCACGTTTTGTTTAGCCAGCACTTTTGTTTATTTTATTATTAATACTGTTGTCACTATTTTTGGCTATTTACTTGGTATATTTGAATTATGGTGAAGGGGCATGGACTCTCCAGCTCCCCATGATCCACCCGCTCTGTGTTTTCTCAGACTGAGGGCTTCACGCAGGTACAGAAGCTATTGGGCTCCTGAAGGCATTAATGAGACAAACCTTTTGAAATGATTCTTTCAACCTGGGACTTTACAAATAATGGAAGCGGAGAGGATTCATTGAGAATGTTTCAGCATGCATGATGAAATGACTCACTAACAATGAGCCAAAATATGAATGTATTGATAACAGACAATGAATAATATACCCCAGGGCTCCAATGTTCATTTCTAATTTCTCTCCATTAAGGGAAAGCCTTAGGATATGATTAGGAAGTGGTTCTCAGTCCCATTGGACGTCAATTGCAATTGGGTTAGAGTCAGTGTTTTCCTGTATCTGGACTTCAAGGATTTTCAGTCTGTCTTTATCAACTCTAGACTGTTCACTTATTGGGGTGTCTGGGTGGCTCAGTCAGTTAAGTGTCAGACTCTTTATTTTGGCTCAGGTCATGATCTTGGGGGTTGTGAGTTCCATCCCCATGTGGGGCTCCGCACTGAGCATGGAGCCTCCTTGGGATTCTCTCTCTCTCTCTCTCTTTCCCTTTCTCCCTCTATCTCTGCACCCCCACCCCACTGTTTGCACATGCATTTCCTCTCTCTAAAGATAGATAGACAGGTAGGTAGGTAGATAGATAGATATAGATAGATAGACTGTTCACTTAACAACTCTAAGTCCTGAATTCTAACTACTGTTATATCCAAGTTGCCGCTGATTGTACAACCTATAATAGAAGTTGGTCCCACTTGAACACAGGCTCTTTGAGGCCAGAAATCACGACTGTCTTTCTCACCACCATCTCACCAACACCAAGCACACAGGGCCTGGAGCAGAGCATTCTCCCAGGGCCTCAGGCATGCTTGTGTGGTCAAGAGTGCTAGCTCAGGGGAGAGCAGGGTCACTGGGATGAAACTGTGGGAACTCCTGCTCACCAAGGGTATGCCCTAGTGGGGGCTACTTCCATTTGGAAAAGGGTACCTTTTCTAAGTTGTACAAAGATCTGAGGGTGAGCATTTTTGTGTTCATTCGAGAGTGGCAACCACTCCAAAAGGCTCTCAAAATAGTTGTAAAACACACACACATTCTGTGAGCAACATGTCATTCAGGCCATAGCCTCAGGCAGTCCCCGGAAAGACGACTTTGTCCCCTGCTTCATTGTGTTTCCACTCATTCCTCTGTGTTCTGCTTAGCTGTGGGGCAATTTTTAGACTACCTCATGTGGATCTGCAGTTGACCCATTTGTGAGATTAAAAAAGAAAGCTACCAAAAAATCTATGTCCCCGGGGAACTTTCTGAGGTGATAACAGTGTTCTGTATCTAGAGTACAGTTTGGGATACACAGGTATACGCATTTCTCAAGACTCAGGGAATGGTCCATTTCAGATTTGTGCATTGTTATATTTTATGTAAATGTTACCTCAAGGGAACAAATTGAACTGCAAGCGATATTATAGGTAACTTTATGCATACTTAAATATTTAGGAGGAAATGCACCGATGTGCGCGAGCTGCGTTGAAACGCATCAAAAATAAGATTGAGTGATGAAGGGGTGAAGAAATAGATGGCCAATGTCATCCATAAAGTGGCAGTGAACCATTCATTATAGAATCTAGGTGGTGAGTATATGGGTGTTTCCCATAAAATTCCTTCACATTTTCTGTGTTTGAACTTTTTCATAATAAAATATTGGGGAGAAAAATGCAGAGAAGAGTATTGTCCCCACTCTTTACTCCTTCCCTTTATTGAAATTAGATCTTCAGGGTTCCTGGGTGGCTCAGTGGGTTAGGCCTCTGCTTTCAGCTCAGGTCGTGATCTCAGGGTCCTGGGATCAAGGCCCACATCCGGCTCCCTGCTCAGCGGGGAGCCTGCTTCCCCTTCTCTCTCTCTGCCTGCCTCTCTGCCTACTTGTGATCTCTGTCTGTCAAATAAATAAATAAAATCTTAAAAAAAAAGAAATTAGATCTTCATACCCTTTGCTATGTGACTTTGCGGGGACCCCCAGTAAGGGGTGGGGGAGAGTAGATTTCCTTGTGTCACGGGCTTTGGACTTGGTCATGTGACTCACTTCCCTCGATGGACCTGAGCAGAGGTGCCAAATGTGCTCATTCGGCTTAGGGCCTCTTGGGCCTCTGCCATCACCATGAAAAGAAAATGTGACCCATGTAGCTGCTGTTATCAGAATTAAACAGTGGATCTGCACTTGACCTGCAGCCTAAAGCAGAGCTGCCCAAACTAACCCTGGAGCCCGCAAGTGAGAAATAAAGACTTGTGCGCCACCACTCAGTCTGGGTTTGTTTGTTATACAGCATTACCACAGCCGAAACACAATTACCCATTACATTAATTCTGGCATAGAGGCCAAAAATTTTGAATGGAGAAATGGTTGTCCTTATCAAAATTCAAGGTCCTAAATCAGTGTCTGAAGGACCTATGGCCTCTGTCTGAGGGACCAGTGGTATCATGGTGAGAGGCTGGGCATGGAGGGATTAAGGTTGACATGGAAGAGTTCTGGAAAGGACTGAGCCTGGGGCAGGTCCTTCTAACTGAGGCAACGAAGCAGGAGGGCAAGCCAGAGTCCCTCAGAAATGCTATACTGTCTCTTTGGTTACATTTTGGGGACAAACACACACTTTCAGTGAAACGAGTGTAACTGCTCTCTAAAACTGTGGGTTGTGGAGGGAGTTTGACCCGAAAGAGACCTTGGGGAAGATTGGCATTTATGTAATTTTCCAGATCTGAAAATTAAGGGCTACAGGTCATTTACCTATGCTTGCCCAGGTAATTGGTGGTAAAGCTAGAATTAGAGTCTGGGCCTCACTGTGTGACCCAGTCCCAGGCTGTCCAGGACAAGCTTTTAGCGAAATGACAGACTGCTTAAGAAAACCATAGGTTCTTCCTAAAAACTTAAGTGTTATTTCTGTGCTCAGTTCCTGAGTCTGGTATTTTGATCTTTTTATTGGAAGAGGTGAGTGCTTTCTTTCTAACAACTTTTTAAAAAAAGATTTTTATTTATTTATTTATTTTGGATAACAAAATGCAAAAACTTTATTAATAATAAGTAATATGTATACCAGACACACTTGATTTTCAGCAGAAAGAGGGTTAGTTGTCCTAGTTCTTAAATAATGTCAAAACAGGCACATCCAGTGACTGCATCAAACTGTTAGATATCCTGCTAGAAAGGTGTAAACCAGAGCTAGCATTTGATAGAGTAGGATTTTACACAAATTTCTTCTCTTTCCTTTGAAGATGGCACACTATGCTGGAGTCACTTCAGAATTTTGATGGCATCAAAGGCAAAGCATTAATTGAGAAAGGTATACACTTTCACAAAAAAGTAGAGGTTCACATTGTGCAATTTAATAAAAATTTCTCATCTGTGTTTTATTTAGGAAAACAGTGACATTGTGAATGAAAGCCCAGGATGGCAAGAGCAGATTCTTGAAAATGAAGAAGCCATTGCTCTTAGCAGGAAGGACAAAACCATTCAACATGTGGAAGTGTTTTGTTACGCCAGGTATGAAAAGTATTTATTTAGGATACACTGAGTTAATGCCTTCTTACTCACATCTATTCAGAAGAAGCCAATATATGACATTGGTTGCCAACAGTCAATTGATAAGATGGTTTGCCTTTTTAAAAATGTAACTTTCAGTTTTCTCTGCTTAGATGATAATGGTGATAATAACATGCTACATTAATGACTTGATTCTTCACAACCATCGTATGCTAGGGTAGAGCGGATAGTACTCAGTTGCAGTTTTTATAGAATCTTCATTATAGAGATTAATTTGTTGAAAGTCACATGGCTTGAAAAATGTCAAGACCACGTGTAGCCTAGATAGTGGTGGCGCCCAAGATCAAAACCCAGGATTATTTAATTCTACTCCAGTGTTCTTCTAACTCTTCTTAGATAATATTCAGTGTACCAAGTAGAAAATTATAATTTTGAAATAAAAATAATTGCTCACAACCTTTGGGGATATATTTTCCAAAAATCAGGAGAGAATATTGGGAAGTAATATTTTAAGTGTCTCTAAGTGAGAAAATTCATTTTTTAAAAAAGTTTTTATTTTCCAGTTAACATACACTTTTATATTAGTTTCAGGTATACCATATAGTGATTCAGCAATTCTCTACATAATTTAGCAGGTGCTCATCACAAGCACACTCCTATTTAAGTGAGCGAGTGAGAGAGAGAGAGAGAGAGCACAGAGGGAGAGGGAGAAGCACACTTCCCACCGAGCAGAGAGCCTGACGTGAGGCTTGGTCCCAGGACCCTGGGATCATGACCTGAGCCGAAGGTAGACGCTTAACCAACTGAGCCTCCCAGGGGCCCCTCTAATAACTTTTTATTACCTACTACACACACACTCACAAAGGCAGCAAGGACTGGACTCTGAATGACTATGCTTGGTTGGGAGCAGTTAAAAGACACAGCTGACCACCTTGAGATTTGAATCCTCTTACACCCTTGCTACTCAAAGTGTTGCCCAAGGAGCAGTAGCATTGGTATCCCCCTGTGGAATATTGGGTTCTATTCCAGATTTGGGGTGTTGTCACTGTTGTTATTTACAGTGTTATATTAGTTTCAGGTGTACAATACAGGGATTCAACAATTCTGTACATCACCCACTGCTCATCACGACAGGTGCCCTCCTTAATCCCTATCCCCTGTTTCACCCCTCCCCCCACCCCCTCCCTTCTGGTAACCATCAGTTTGTTCTCTATAGTCTGTTTCTTGATTTGTCTCTCTCTCTTTTTTTTCCCTTTGTTCATTTGTTTTGTTTCTTCAGTTCCACACAGGAGTGAGATCATACAGTACTTGTCTTTCTCTGCCTCATTTTACTTAGAATTATACTCTCTAGCTCCTTCCATGTTGTTGCAAATGGCAGGATTTCATTCTTTTTTATGGATGAATAATATTCCATTCTCTCTATAAACCACCTCTTTTTTATCCATTCATCAATCAATAGACATTTGGGCTGCTTCCGTATTTTGGCTAATGTAAACAATACTGCTGTAAACATAGAGGTGTATGTATTCCTTTGAATTAGTGTTTTTGTACTTTTTAGGTAAATACCTAGTAGTGTAGTTAATGGATCATAGGGTATTCTATTGGGAACTTTTTGAGGACTCTCCATACTGTTTTGCACAGTAACTGCATCAGTATGCATTCCCACCAACAGTGCACGAGGGTTCTTTTTCTCCACACCTTTGCCACCACCTGTTGTTTCTTGTGTTTTGAATGTATTTTTTGAATGATTTTGAATGTATTTCCCTGATGGGAAGTGACGAACATCTTTTCACGTGTCTGTTGAACCCCTGGATGTTTTCTTTGGAGAAGTGTCCCCTCATGTCTTCTGCCTGTTTTTGTTTTTTTGTTTTTTTGTTTTTAATTTGGATTATTTGGGTTTGGGCTGTTGAGTTTTATAAGTTATTTATATTTTGAATACTAATGCTTTATTGGGTGTTTCATTTGCAAACCTCTTCTCCCTTTCTGTAGGTTGCCTTTTAGTTTTGTTGATTGTTTCCTTCACTGTGCAGAAGCTTTTTATTTTGATGTAGTCCCAATAGCTTCTTTTTGTTTTTGTTTCCCTTGCCTCAGGAGACAGATCTGGAAAGAAGTTGCTACCTGTTAGTGCCTGTGTTCTCGTCTAGGATTTTTTGGTTTCGGGTCTCATGTTTAGGTCTTTCATCCACTTTGAATTTATTTTTGTGTATGGTATCAGAAAGTCATCCATTTTCATTCTTTTGCATGTTGCTTTCCAGTTTTCCAAACAGCATTTGTTGGAGAGAATATTCTTTTCCCATTGGGTAGTCTTTTCTGCTTTATCAAAGATTCATTGACCATATAGTTGCTAGTTAATTTCTGGGTTTTCTATTCTGTTCCATTGATCTATGTGGCTATTTTTATGCCAGCACCATACTGTTTTGTAATAATAACTTGAAGTCCAGAATTGTGATGTCTCCAGCTTTGCTTTTCTTTCTCAAGATTGCTTTGGCTAGTCAGGGTCTTTTTTTTTTTTTTTTTTTTTTTTTAATCAGACAAAAAAATCACATTTATTTCAATAGTTCAAAGTGCAAATACAGCAAGTCAGTTCACGTTTCAAGATACAGTTTTAAGTATAATGAAAACTTGATATACAAAAATGAAAGGGTAAATAGCAGAAATAAAGCTCAATTTTTTAAAAATTTCAAGTAACCCGAAAACCTTAAGACTAAAATATTCCACTTACAATTCAGAAATGCCTTAATTTATAAACACCAGTAGTACAGTGCAATCCCAAAGGACTTCTCAAAGAAAGAGAATCACCCCAAACCAGTCGGCTCAGGACAAGAGTGAAGTTCTCCGTGCTGGCTCTTCCTGCTTTGGCAGCCTCACTCACGCTGTCAATTGATAGGGTTCAACCCATGATACTTTGATGTTTAGGCAATTCCAAAAAATGTTTAAAGTTCAATACGAGGCCAACACCCTACTAAGAGAGTTTCTGAAATGGCCACTATATATTTAGAAGATTTTAAAGACCAATTTCAACTTCAGGCCTATGATATTACTGGGGAAAGACACAGATTAATACTTCTTCCATTACTTAAACCTTTTTGTAAGGTTAGCAACATGGCCTTTACCACTCCCTCATGAAAAATCGTACTTAAATACATATTTATTTATTTCTACACATACAGAGCTTTTATGTAAAGTAGAAAAAGTTCCCACTAGGAAGATAATTAAAGGTTGTTAATGTTCTCTGTATCACTTAGCAGCCAAGACACATGTTTATTTCTGCTCTGCAGAAGCAATGTTAGCTACTTGCTTCAATTCAGGAAAAGTGTGTACCTTCAGGAAGGTATAGATGAGATACTTATTCAGTCTTTTTCTCAATCTTCTTCATCTTTTCATTGTAAGCAACAAATTGAGAGTCTGTTCCGAAAATTCTATCCCACCATGTAAACGTTGAAGCGTAGTTTCCGATGAAGTTCATATGGTGGAAATCATGATGCCGAGAACCAGCATAGAAAGGGATCAGATTTAAAGGGTTGAGAGGAATGTCATAACCACTATGGACGTCAATAGTTTCTATCAAACGAATAGTCACCCATGCCCAAAGGAGAATGACGTGATCACATAAAAGCATGATTCCGATGAAAAATCCAGTTCCAAGAATCAGAGTTTCCAAGGGATGTGCATATTCAGCTTCCATTCCAAATGGAGCCTGAAACTCATGATGAATTTTATGAATATATTTATATATTCTTTTGTGGTGTAAGAGCCTATGCAGGAAATAGTGCCAGGTATCCTCAATCACCGCACAGCCAAAGCATTTTGCCAAAAGCAGGTACCATCTTGGCATTCTTTCCCAATCATAAGGTATATTAAAATACTCTTTAAAATAATAAGTTCCACAGATCAAAGGAAGCTGGATAAAAAAGTGATTAAAGAGAAGTACTTTAAAACATTTCCACTGGTTTTCCCATGTTTCTGGTTTGTCCTTTTGAATTTTGTACTTTTTCATGTAAGGTATAAATTGAAACAAAAATCCAGGTAAACAGAACAAGAAATAAAGGACCTCATGAACTATCAAGGATCCCCATGTTGCAATCTGGAACTTTGTATAATTATCCAACATATAGTTCCATGCATTTTTAAATGGTTCTTGTAGAGGGTTCTCAGGTAAAAGTGAATCTACATACTCCACAGCCAAGGATGCTGAACTAAAGATGCTGACACTTTCATTTGTTGCCATTTTTCAAATCTCTGCAGAAAGCCTTAGAATTCTGGACGACCGCGCGGAAACTGCCGGACCTAGTCAGGGTCTTTTGTGGTTCCACACACATTTTAGAATGGTTTGTTATAGCTCTTTTAAAGATGCCATTGGTATTTTGATAGGGATCACATTAAATGTGTAGATTACTTTAATAGTGTAGACATTTTAACATTATCTATTCTTCCAATCCATAAACATGGAATGTCTTTCCATTTGTTTGTTTCATCTTCAATTTCTTTCATCAGTGTTTTATAGTTTTCAGAGTACAGGTCGTCCACTTCTTTGATTAGGTTGATTCCTAGGTATCTTATTACTCTTGGTGCAATCGTAAATGGGCTTGATTCCTTAACTTCCCTTTCTACTGCTTCATTATTGATGTATAGAAACACAACAGACTTCTGTACATTGGCTTTGTATCCTATGACTTTACTGAATTTGTGTATCTGTTCTAGCAGTTTTTGGGTGGAGTCTTTTGGGTTTTCTATATAGAGTATCATGTCATCTGCAAAGGGTGAAAGTTTTACTTCTTCCCTACCACTTTGGATGTCTTTATTTCTTTTTGCTCTCTGATTGTTGTGGTTAAGACTTCCAGTACTATGTTGAATAGAAATGGTGAGAGTGGACATCATTGTCTTGCTCCTGACCTTAGAGGAAAAGCTCTGTTTTTCCCATGAGGATGATATTAGCTATGGGTTTTTTCATAGATGACCTTTATTATGTTGAGGTACGTTCCATATGCACTTGAA